TCGAGGTTTGAATTTGTTCTTCAGTTCCTTGAGCTTAAGAAATGCTGAGCGAGTTCGGCCCTTTGATTTTCTGACTGAGATGTGCTAAAACCGAAGTTTTCTTTATCTCTTCAGCACTCACTCGTATCTCCTGCAGAGGGACATGCTAGTGTACTGTAAATAAGTGAACCAACACACACAGGAGCAAAGTTGATAAATCAAGTGAAAGAAATTCATTAAAGCCATAAAAGAGAGGCATAGTTGGTGAAAGGTAGAGGTAGGCTATGCAAAAGAGTTAAAGTGAAAAAGACATAAGAGCCCTAGAGTACCTCTGGAAAGACGTGGTGTTGCCAAATCTTACGATTTGCTGCCAGCAGAAGAGAGAGGCTGAGCCCTACATGGGCATTGCTTATATTGACTCCCTAGTCTCTTGAGACTGAGTCATAGCCTAGCCCCGTGTAGGGACTTGGGAGATTGCCTGGGGAGGGACTAATTCCTGGTGTAACTTCATTTGACTGCTGTCAAAAGTACTATCACACTGGTGTAAGGATTATACATTTTTTTTTTAGGGTTATACATTTCTTTCCACTTTCCTCTGAAAAAAAAAACAGGTAACAATTCTAGCCCTTAACATTTATTTCCCTCCACATAATATCACAGACCAGTTTTTATGTCCAGCAATTTTATGTAAGAATTTTGTCATAGAGTGAATTTATTACTCTGCTTCATGGGAATACTTTGTTTGAAATTTTTCTAGATTTTTAATGTTAGCAAAGCTGTAGTGAAATTTTTTTTGTTCAAACATATTTTCACATTTGGGTGCTTAGTTCCAGGTAGAGCCTAGAAGGGAGATTACTAGAACAATAGTGTATTGTTGTTTTTACTGTTGTGTACCATTGAGTTGGAACTGACCCACAGCTGACCCTCTGGCCGGTTTTCAAAGATAATCACACAGAAGGAGATTGCCCATCCTTCTCCCAGTTTAGCAGCTGATGGATTCGAACCACATGCATTCGGGATTGCAGCAAAGCTTCTTGCCACTAGGCCACCAAAGCTCCCTGGGACAAGGGTATAGACATTATAAATATGCGTACATATTAACAAAATTCCTCTCCAGAAACAGTGGAGCAAGCTCTTTCTACCCACAGTGACTTGTCTTCTGTAATCTGTTTCTGGTAACCTTTATAATCACTGTTCAGTACATCAAAAACCATCTTTATTTG